GCTGTAGGATAGACATTTCGGAGAACGATATTCCTGGAACTGGAGGCGGAGCAACTGGTTGGAGTTCAGATATCAAAGTCATTGGCGGAGGATTGTGTGGAACATCCCTGGACTCTGGATGGGACAGGGCATCAGCAACTACATTCTCCGGACCAGGAAGATGAAGGATCTCACAGTTGAACTCAGACAGGAACGATAATCTCCTTTGCTGCATGGCGGACCAGGGCGGAGATGTTCTAAACAACGCATATGTTAATGGTTTGTGGTCAGTGAACAAAATAAGCTGTCTACCCTCTAGCATGAAGGGGAAGTGGCGGAGAGAAGAGTAGGCAGTGAACAATTCACATTCGAAGGCGGAATACTTGCATTTTGGGGCGGATAATTTCTTGGAATAAAATGCCAGAGGGGCCCAAAAACCAGATACTTCTTGTTGTAAGACTGCTCCAACATGAGATCCAGAGGCATCCACGGATAAGGATATCCTGGCGGAGGGATCAGGGTGAACCAGAGTAGGAACATTTGCCAGGATGGATTTGGCAGCTGCGAAGGATTGGTTCNGGAATAAAAGGGGTGAGGAGTGGGTTTCGGCGGGAACCATGTTTACAACATCCCCGCCGTTAACTAGTTTCCCGAAAAAGAACATGGCGACCTGCACTGGTTAGCCTGGTTTCCCCACTTGCGATGATACCAGCACTCTGAGGAGGTAGATGAGGATGTAGATCACTCTGGACTGCTGGATCTAGTGCGACTAGAAGAGGACCTGGTTCTGGAGCTTCGAGATACAAGCGATACATCCTCCATCGGTCTGTAGTCTTGAGACGAAACTGAATGGACGGCATTAACTCTTCCACAAATGGTCCATAGTTTGTCTGCTCTGGTAGCCATCCGTCTAGGGTCAGCAATTGATTCCGTCAGTAGATGGGAACGAATATCTGCAGGGAGACGATCCATAAACAGGCCTAAGAAAAAGAAACCAGGTTTCTCATCTTCAGGGAGGAGTACTAACATTTTATCCATGAGTTCTGAGGGTCTTTGATCCGTCAGAACTGGGATACTCTGGAGAGCCTGATACCTCTGTACCTCTGGAAATTACTGCGAGTGTACATCTGGATAAGGCGGGTTCTCAGGGTTGCATAGGGATCTGAAGTTGGATTACGGATCAGATCTATGAGGTGAGTGGCAACGTCCTGGGGAAGGGCTGCAACACAGTGGTGAAACTTGGATAGAGAAGTTGTCACGCGCTTGATCGCAAACTGGGCCTCAGCCTGGAGGAACCACACCTCGGGGTAGTCCGTCCAGAAGGTGGGAAGCTTGATGAATACCGTGGTGAGGGATAACTGACAAACAGGGGGTGAAGATATTCATTATTGGTCGACATCGCTACTACGCTGAAAAAGAACACTCTATCGTCGGAACCAATTTCGGGCGCTTCAACAAGAGGATTAAATTCCGACAAAAGAATCACGTCGGGGTCACCAAAATGTAGCGACGAAAGGAATAAGACCAAATAAATAAGACCAAATGAATAAGACCAAATAAACTGACTAAATATATATTTATTAAAAACAGTATTTATACTAGATGCAGTATATCATAATCTAAACAATAAATTGTGAAGTATGAAATATGCTGTGTACTGCATTCCAGGAATCCAGGGGCGCCACAATACTACATTTTACACTAAAGTACATTTATGTATAAATATACAGATACTACAGTTTATACTAAGGTACATTTATGTATAAATATACAGATACTACAGTTTATACTAAAGTACATTTATGTATAAATAAACAGGTACTACAGTTTATACTAAAGTAAATTTATGTATAAATATACAGGTACTACAGTTTATACTAAAGTACATTTATGTATAAATAAACAGGTACTACAGTTTATACGGATGTACATTTATGTATAAATATACAGGTACTACAGTTTACACAGATGTATATTTATGTATAAATAAACAGGTACTACAGTTTATACTAAAGTACATTTATGTATAGATATACAGATACTACATTTTATACTAAAGTACATTTATGTATAAATATACAGATACTACATTTTATACTAAAGTACAATTATGTATAAATATACAGATACTACATTTTATACTAAAGTACATTTATGTATAAATATACAGGTACTACAGTTTATACTAAAGTACATTTATGTAAATTTATGTATAAATATACAGATACTACATTTTATACGGATGTATATTTACGTATAAATATACAGGTACTACAGTTTATACTAAAGTATATTTACGTATAAATATACAGGTACTACATTTTATACTATTCACATTTATGTATAAATATACAGGTACTACAGTTCAACATATTTGAATTCAGTTTCAGGTTCAGTGCTCAAATACAAACCACACCTTCAGGCATTTAAATTCTTTTGAACTTTTAAAATACAATTTAATAAATTACGCAGTTTTGGTTTAAAGAGACTGACCGGCAATGTATGGTGGTTGAACTGAGAATGTAGAATTGTAGAGAAATTTTATAAGATTCATTTTATTAGTTCATTCATTAGTTTGAGTGCAAAGTCGACGTTCAAAATCATCAATTTGGGTGGGTACGTTTTGAGAATTTTTTTTTTAAATTATCAAATAACGCCGAAAATACGCAACAACCATACATTGCCGGTCACTCCCTTTAAATCCTTCCAATGCTAACCCCTAATCTTGACCCTTCCTCCCCCCCTTCCAATCCCTCCCCACACCCGGCCGTCTAAACTTTGATTTTAAGAATTGTGTGAGTAAGAGCCATAAAATACACAATCTCATAAAGTACATATTTGTATTTTTTTCCATTTTTCACCCGTATAATTATTTAATAAAATGAATGTGAGAGATCTTGAAACCCAAAAATTACCCAAAGTGTAATATTTTAATATGACATTAGAGACCATAATTTTAATTCTGTTTAGTATTTACAAATAAAACTTTGGAATAGGAAGACGACAGAATTAAGTAATATTAGATATTTGTCATGTTGTTCTATAGCAAATATGTTTACCAGTGGCTTCAAAATAAACGTATCAAGTGAAATGGGGTCTGTAAACACTCCAAATTTTTGTAAATTTTTTCATGTTAATGTAATTTTTAAATTCACAACTTGAGTCTTACTGTTATTTTCCTATTCCACCGTTTAATTGGTCCATTTCTACACTTCTAGTTTCCCCAAATAAAAGCCGAAAACATGTAAAAAAAAAATTCCTATCTCTATTATTAAATACACCTATATATAAAATAACATAAATATAAAATGGTATAAGTAATCATTAAAGTATTTTTTTGGCATTGAAAAGGGAGTGGTTTAAATGCATGCAACATAATTTGAACACTTTGCACACAAATTCTAAATAAATGCGACTTCATCCGGATTTCTGATTCATTGATTGCATTTACTGGCGCCAAATGTTCATATTTTAATCAATTCATTAAATATATAAGTGCACAATTTAAAAATCTAATGTAGTTTGTCAAAGTTTTAAAGATTTTATGCTGCCAGTGTAGTGGTCAACAATCGCAGAGTAACAACTCAACAAATGTTCGGAAACCCATTGATTTAGAAAAACGAACAAAAAACTATGAACGAACACTTATTCTAAAAGACGAACACTAGCCCATGTAAAGTCTAATCTGAAACTGCTTTGGAATATCAACACAAAAAAATCGTTGATTAGGTGGCAATATAGATGAACAAAAGTATTTTTAAAAACGAACATATTAGTGTGAACCATACCCCATAATTCAATCTGTTGTAAGGTCGTCTCTAACAAATTATATCTCCGTTGAACCCTCCGTTCACTTTCCAAACCAAACATTTCCAAGGACTCCGCGTAAATGTAAACAAAAAGCCTCATGGAGCTAATAAAACTTAAAGTGCATTAAAAGAACCAATTTAAACATAATTTCAGTGAATCATTTACAAATAAACAGTGAAATTCCTTTAACCAAACAAATATTTATTTTCAGAAGATTAAATTGCTTTAGACTTCGATTCAAACAACTATTCACATGTTATACTATTTTAGATCGTAAGTTCCTTATATTTAATTCACAACAATATCTTAAACCTTTTTATTTGCCGATTCATAACAGGACCTTTAAGCCTTTGTTCAATTGTCAATGATACATATTTCTTTAACCAATTGTTCGTTTACAACAATATTCATGTATTTAGTTACACCCAACTGGTTTAATCTTATTAACCCTATCTCTGCCGGGGTACTTGAAAACCAGGATATGCTGAGGGGGTGGGTCAATTTGACCCCCCCTCTAAATCCCATGTTTAATGTTCAAATATGACAAATGACACATCATTGGAAAGCTCTTGTGCTCTACTTTTAGAATCTGCAAAGAAATTTGCAAATTTGCAAAAATTGAATTTTTTATCCCAAAATCCAGTTATATAGTAAAAATGTTTGCAAAAAAATATTTGTCCAAAAAATTAAAAATTATACATTTTTGAAAAGCCCTTGACCATGCCATTTCAAATATGCAAATATTTGTGCAAAATTTTAAATAACCTAATTTTTAATCAAGAAAAACTAAAAATATGCAAATTTCCTTTGACAGGTTGTTTGCAAAATATTTGCAATTTTTTTCGCAAAACTTATGCAATTCGTTTCCTTATGTCAGAGGCTTTCCAAAAAGCCAAATTTTATCAAAATCTGACAAGTGGCAGTGGGTCAAAACAAAGATTTAGTTTGTTACAGGAAAAAGCAGTCATTCAGGCAGTGTGCCTGAGGACTCAGGCAGTTAGTATTAAAGCCCGGTTTTAGGCCTAAAGGGAGAGCTTTGGGTAGGAAAAGTCAGAAAATTTCAACAGCCTCAGACCATGCAATAATTTTTGAGTTATGTAAAAAAAACTACAGGGGGGGGGTCAAATTGACCCCCCCCCAGCAGGAATAGGGTTAACAATCATTATTTATATACATGTACGTCAATAACAATTTGTATTTTTGTAGGAAACCTCGTTACTGAATTATATTTTTTCAAGAAGAAGTTCTCATTTATGTAAGCATGAAGAATAGAGTGTTTCCTAGCCTATTTGCCTTTGGATTTGTCATACTTCGAGTTGCATATCCTCTGCTCCATTTCCGCCCATTCGAGCAATATTCCTTTTGATCGGTTAACAATTAGTTACGTTTTTTTTAGATAAAATGCCAAAAGTACACAGCCATGAACATCATTCTCTTAGGCCTTTTTTTGTAAACCAAACACTGTTCCAATTGGTTTTCAACCTAGTGTTTAAAAAGGTACATGGAATACTTCTGGAAAATGAAGAAAGTGTGTACCTCAACAAGTTTCTTGAAATTAAAAACACTTTTTTTTCAAAATTAACAACACACCACTAATACAGTGTCAAAAAAAATCATTTTTTTTTCTTCTTATTTTCTACCTTTAAAATTATTTTTTCAACAAACGTATTTTACAGGTACATTCCATATAAAAAAAACAGATATTTAAAAATTTTTAATTTAAAGAAATCAATTACCAGTTAACATCAAACACTCTGAAAATTTTCTCCAGGACCTCGTATGGGGATCCATCGGACAAAATGTAGAAGACGACCTAAAAAATAAAGAAAATGAATATTTGAAAAAATAGAAAATAAATTTCAAAACTCACTATGAACTCGACGAAATCGATGAAACCATCGTTGTTCGAATCAAAAATCCTAAAAATACGAAAAATTTCCAAAAAATTTGTTTTCATTGAAATTTTTTTTTTCTTTTATTAAACCTGAATATGTGAGGCTCCATCTTGCTTGCATCTTTTTCAGGAAGAGCCTGTTGCACAACTTTTTATTAAAAACAAAATCTCCAAAAAATTAGAGTATGAAAAAAACAAAGTTATAAGAACAAGAAAAGGGCATTATGTAGCTTGTAGTTTGTAGTATGAAAATTTGAGATATTTATCAAATAAAGTGGAATTATCCATGTAAACAAAACCACATATTTTTGGTTATTTCAAATTTCAAACATAATACGGAATTTTCAGAAATGTAGAAATAAAGACCTATCGTTTGATTTATAAAATAAAATTCTATAGCATTTCAAGAAATTTGTGCTATAAAGTCAAAGTTCCACCCTATACAAAACTAGATGAAGGGCCCGTGAAAAAAAATAATATAATTTTTTTTTTAAATTAAGAAAAAATTTTCGAATATTTTAGCCTATTTCACCCCCCGACCACCCAGGAGTGTTCATGAAAAATCTCAGCCCAATTGATTGTCACCATTTAATACATTTTTAAAAGGAACTGAATTCTTGCTACAAATTCTGTTTTTGTAATCCCTATCTTTGCAGCCCAAAGTAGTAGATCTTTAATATTTTAAACTATGAATTCTGTTTTTGTAATCCCTATCTTTGCAGTCCGAAGTAGTAGATCTTTAATATTTCAAACTATGAATTTTGTTTTTGTAATCCCTATCTTTGCAGCCCAAAATAGTAGATCTTTAATATTTCAAACTATGAATTCTGTTTTTGTAATCCCTATCTTTGCAGCCCGAAGTAGTAGATCTTAAATACTTCAAACTATGAATTCTAATTTTGTAATCCCTATCTTTGCAGCCCAAAGTAGTAGATCTTTAATATTTCAAACTATGAATTCTGTTTTTGTAATCCCTATCTTTGCAGCCCGAAGTAATAGATCTTTAATATTTCAAACTATGAATTCTGTTAGCTTTAATAGCCAGTTAGAAATTTAGAGGTTTACTCCAACAGGTTGCAAAATATAGACTTCAGAAAATTAGAGTTAGTGTCAAAAACTCAGTTCCTTTATTAAAAATGTTTTAGAGCGTAATATAGTTGTAAAGTTGTTCATGATAAGGGATATTTGCTGTCAACGCAAGATATGGAATTCATGCTTGTAAATTTCAACACAAAACAGGTGAATATATATATATATATATATACAGGGTAAGAATTCACTGACGACTGTACGAAATTTGTTTCTTTATATTCATGATTTCCTGCAATTATAAACTTGTTTGTTTCTTTGTCAACTAGCTGTCAACTAGCTTAATAATTCATTTGATTACTAGATATAAGGCAGAATACTTAATTTAACCTTGGGATTTTATAGTTTCTGGTCGTCTTTACAGTCTCATCCTTTGTGGGTAACCCTGTATATATATATATATATATATATATTAAATCTTCTTCAAGAAAGACGAAAAGACATATAAAAAAAAATATTATAACTAAAATTCGAACTATTAAATGTAAATGATGTTTGAAATGGTAAAAAAGTTTCAAGTTTAATTCCCCTTTTTCATAAACTTCCCTTTTCTTCTTTCAAATAAATCAAGCTATATCAAGCTATAATATCCTTAGTTTTATTATTGATGACGCTTTTATTATTGATGTTAAAGCTTTACAAATAACAATAAAAAATTAAAGAAATTCAGCATTTAATAAAAACGTTAGAAGTTTTATTAGATGTCAGATGCTAGGATGTAGAAAGATTTGGACATTGTATTTTTCAAGTCATGAAGGGCTTTTAGCCGTGATAATGTTTGAATTATTAGAATTTAACACTTCAAGCTAAAAAACTATTTTCTCATTATTGCTCAGATAAAGTTTTCAAGGGTACCGTTGTGAACTTTTGAATTGACAAAAATAGTTTAAAATCAAGATCTTTAAAACTAACAAAAAAGAAAAGAAAAGGAATTCATTATTGATTTCATATTCTGTAGTTCTATGAACTAGTTTGTAAAGAAGTTGTAAACAAAAAACATGATTGGATATTTTATCTTTCAATAAAGATTTAATTTAAAAAGTTTCCTTTGACATCATATCACGGAAATCCTTCTTTTTCATCTTTCCGTTTGGGTGCTCAGCGACAAAAGAATCAAAATACTCACGAACCTACACAATAATAAAATTATAGAAAAAATTATGAATTATTTAATTGTTTACAATCTTCAAAAAATATTATTTTCAATTGTTGCTTTTCTGCAAAAGTGACGACAGGAAAACAATAAGAACTAATAGAAACAATACATTTAAATCCAGAAAAACGGCAATATCTTCCACATTTTTGATCAGATAAAGGTTTCAAGGGTTACCAATTCAAATCGGGCATTTCCAACTTTGCATGTATAGTCAGTTGAAATTACGTTTACAGTCCCTTTAAATAGTGAAAAGTGTTGTTGAGGGGGAACAGCTGGTTTTTAAAAATTCAATTGAATTATTGCAGTATCTCAGATAGTGAAAATTTGCAAAATTGTATACGCTGTGCAAAAGATGTGCGGAAAAATGTGGTGCAAATTACAGTCACGAAATTTAATTCATCTGAGAACTTGAACTACTGGAAGAAAGAATGGGGAGGGGAAAGAAAAGAAGGGGGTGATATATGAAATTTAAAAAACTAGATAATACCACAAAAATATGAAAAAATTTCTGGGACACTAAGGGTGGGAGAAAGGAGAAAATAGTATGAGTATGATGGAGACGGGAAGGGATGTACGAAAGTGGAAACAGAAAAAGTAAAAAAAGGAAAGAAAGAAAGAAAGAGAAAGTAAGATAAGAAGAGATCAAGGGGGAGGGATAAGGGCACAATGATGCAGAAAGTTCTCACGTCTAAATCTATGGAAGTTTCCAAGTACTTATTCATTTGTCTTACGGTTGGACTGCAAAACGTATCCTGTTCTATATAAACTATCTCTTAGTCTTTTAACAGTATCCTGTTCTATATAGACTGTCTGTTAGTCTTTTAACAGTATCCTGGTCTATATAGACTGTCTGTTAGTCTTTTAACAGTATCTTGTTCTATATAAATTGTCTGTTAGTCTTTTAACAGTATCTTGTTCTATATAAACTGTCTGTTAGTCTTTTACTAGTATCCTGGTATATATATAGCTGTCTGTCTGTTAGTCTTTTAACAGTATCTTGTTCTATATAAATTGTCTGTTAGTCTTTTAACAGTATCTTGTTCTATATAAACTGTCTGTTAGTCTTTTACTAGTATCCTGGTATATATATAGCTGTCTGTTGAGTCTTTTAATAGTATCCTGGTATATCTAAACTGTCTGTTAGTCTTTTAATAGCATCCTGGTCTATATACACTGCCTGTTAAGTCTTTTTACAGTATCTTGGCTTATATAAACTATCTGTTCGTCTTTTAACAATATCATGTCCTATATATAGCTGTCTGTTCGTCTTTTAACAGTATCTTGGTCTATATAACTGTCTGTTCGTCTTTTAACAGTATCCTGGTATATATAAATTGTCTGTTAGTCTTTTAACAGTATCCTGTTCTATATAAACTGTATGTTAGTCTTTTAATAGTATCCTGGTCTATATAAACTGTCTGTTAGTCTTTTAACAGTATCTTGGTCTATATAAACTGTCTGTTAGTCTTTTGATTGTATCCTGGGCTATTTACACTGTCTGTTAAGCCTTTTAACAGTATTTAGTCTACATAAATTAAACTTTAAAACATTATTATTATTAAACATTGAATTTATTGACTCTGTTTACTGGCAGATTAATAAATTTCCTCCTGTTGCATTTCCAACTAAATTTGCTAAAAACAACTTTAACACAACACATTTTATATTGAAAGGTTGAAAGGACTTTAGGCGTAATTTGATGTGACTTTACAGTTATTAAATGACATGCCAGATTCAGATACAGGTGTAAAGGGTATCACTGTGAATTGGTAAAACCTTCTGTAAAAGGCAAGTTGCAATTGAAAAAACGTCCTCAGTCCATTAAAAAAAAACCTCAACGGGAGTCAATCTACTTGATTGGACCAGAGCTTCGACATTTTCCTCTGTCAGGACTGGCTTTCCGTTCTTAGATCCCATACTGCCTGATAACTGCCTGATTATACTGGCTGTTTCTGCCTGATTATACTGCCTGACTGGGAGTTTGTCTGAGACTGCCTGAATATGTCGAGTCGAAAGCCGCTCCCTTGCAATTCTTTTATCTATCTGTCCTAATACATTCCTCGGAGGGTCTCTCTATCTACCTAACTCTATAGATCTCTATCTATATCTCTATCTATCTATCTATCTACCTAACTCTATCTATCTATCATCTATCTAACTATCTATAAATATCTATCTATATAAGCATATTCAATAAGTTATTGAATTTATGTATTTATTTAAAATTTTTTTGGGGAAAGAATATTTTAACTGATTTCCTATAAAACTATGAGTCATGAGCTAGCTTGCTATTGGTTAAAGAGATATAAGCAGCTCGGCTATTGCATGGTCCAAAAACCGGCTAGTTCAATGCACAGGTGGATAATGTTAGAAACGATGCATTTTTGCACGAAATATGAAAAATCTGGTAGTGCCAATTTCAAGTGCAAAATATATCTTAATTGAAGAAAATAACAAAAATTATATGTTCAAGAGGTACAGCTGAAAGGCCCAAAATTAAAAGTATAAAAAATATTTTAACACTTTCTCTTTCTAAACAATACCCCCCCTTCCACCTCAGCAAACTCTTCTTCCGATCTGGTTCTTATCTCTCTCAAAAAATTTTACTATGACCTTTTTCCCAAATTTTGACTATCCTTTCCCATGTTCATCTCTTAACGTTTCCCAAATCACCCTTTCATTTTTTTTACTTTTAAAATTATTTCCATCAAATACTTCTTTCTTTCACATTTATCTTATCTTTTTTAAAAAAAATTTTTTAAATGTTTCTTTCTTTCCTTTGATCAATTTCCTCTTTTACTGTAAATCATTCTTTCCCTTCTACACAATGAACTGAAGTGTACCTTGATAACACTATTGTTCCTGACAGTTTTTTTAAACGAAAAAATATCCTCCGCACTAAATAACTAAGAACAACTTTCAGCGAATAGTCACTTTTTATTTAATAAATAATTAATTGTTCTTTAACTTTATATTAGACCAGCTTGGGAACCCAGCGCTGCCCAGGTTATTAAAAATTTCTCCCGCCGTTTAACCGCACATAAACCTATTTTTTGGTCTTCTTTTTGATGTTTGATTCAGGCTGAAAGCTAATCACTTTAGCTCTCGATCGCGACCCATGAAAGTTTTATCTGATGTTCCTATCTCGAGAAATTGATATACCACTTTATCAAATTTATACGAAAATTAATATATATACAATTTTGTATAAAAGTAGTGGGTTTAGATAGATCAAATTCAGCAAGTAAGCAACCAATCTGAAAACGATGATATCCCAGAGAAAGCTAATTGTAACTTACGTTTACTCCAATTCTAATTTTATATTTGCTATTTCTATTTTTAATAGATTTAATTCATAATGTTATTTATAAGTCCGTATTACTTGACCAGAAATGGCACCAATGGCAGTGCAGTAAAGTGGTCAAGTGATACAGGCGGAGACACATGACCAGTATACTGCTCTGCCATTGGTGATAGTTCTCTCACATGATTTAAGTTTCAGATTTTCAAAATTTTACATATAATTTTCGTATAATTTTAACACAGTTTTATATCAATTTCTTGAGACAGGAACATAAGATATAACTTTCCTGGGTTGCGATCAAGAGCTAAAGTGATTAGCTTTCAGCCTATACCCCCTTTCATTTTTCCTTTACAGTCCCTTTAATTACCTGGAAAGACATCAATCTAAATCTCCTCCAGGGCATTGCACGAGAACTCCAGAACCGGTTTCTGTAAAAATTGAAAATAGTAGATTTTTTTATTTAATTACATCATCATTATCATCGCTCATGATTTTATTTGTCAAAATTTTAGGCTAATTTCTTAGTCATTTTACCCTGGTTTGAACATTGTCTATATAATAATGTAAACAGAAGAAGAAATAAAAACAAACTTAGCCCTGATGTATGTATGTCTAAAAAAATAACACTGATTGTTAAAAGTTGCCAAACTTTATCGCAAAGGTCAAATTATTTTACGACTTTAAGGGTTTTCAAAATGATGGTTTATTACTACTGTTCTTGTGTTTTAATAATAATGGAGATGACCCAAATAAACACGGAATTTACTACTCTTCTAAAATCCAACTTTCTAATTCTTTTATTTGTGCAATTAATTAGATTATGTTGCCATACCGCACAAACGTTTACATAATTCGCTAATTGCATGAAGTCAAACCTTGATAAACCTTCGAAAAAGACAAAACAATATACCTGGGATTTCATTGTCTTCAACAGAATAAATATTATTGGAAACAGAATCATCTACCGGAGCAACAGCATTTTGATCTTCAACAGCATCTTCTATTGGAGCCACATCACTCTGATCTACAACAACATCATCTACCCCGGCAACATCAGTCTGATCTACATCAGCATCATCTACTGGAGCAACATTATTTTTATCTACAGCAACATCATCTAATGGAGCAACAGCAATCTGATCAACAACATCATTTTTTTACTGGAGCACCAACATTTTGATCTTCATTAACATCTTTTATATGATAAACAGCATTTCGATCTACAACAACATCTTCTAATGGAGAAACAGCAATTTGATCCTTAGTAACTGTGTCAGATGAAGTAAGATAAAAGTAATCCCTGTAAACAAAAGCAGAGAAGTCCATGCAAATTCTTGAAAATTATTCTTAAGAAAATCTTGAGACAATTATCGAGAAATTGTCAAACAACCCATTCTCGAGAATTTCTCTGAAAAATTTCAAGGACAAATTCTCTATAACTTCTCTGGAATTCCTTAACCCCAATTCTCGAGCATATCACATGGCTGCTAATGACGGGTGACAGCATCTCATGTGATATATTGAGGACCCATGGTGTGTAGAGGATATGTTTTCAAGAAAAACTATACAAATTCTCTTAATTTAAAAATTTTGGAGACTGCTGAAAATTTCTCCTCTCTTAATTACTGGAAATCTTTATTGATACAAATTTACATACAGTAAGAGGACCCATAACATTGTGGAATAGGAAGACAACTGTTAAACTGAAGTTTTGATTTAAAATAGTCCAAGGAACATAAGACAATAATTGTGCAGCGAATATGATACAGACTCATTTCACTTAAAAAATGTATTTTCAAGTTTCTGGTATAATATTAGCTCACTGACAACATTGAATACAAATAAGATTTCTTAAATGTCTTCTGTTTTATGGGTCTCACTGTCACATAATCATGATTTCCTAGAAGTTCTATAATGTTCAACTTATTTGATCTTTTTTGCGTACCTACGCCTTTCATCAAGATCTTGGGCTAGATCAAAAACAGCATTCAGACCTTGAACAGGAGCTGGAAGTAGCTCTTCAGCTACATCCTCATTATCGTTATCATTATCATAATCATAATCATAATCATTATCATTATCATTATCATTATCGTTATCGTTATCATTATCATTATCATTATCATTATCATTATCATAATCATTATCATTATCATTATCATTATCATTATCATTATCATTATCATTATCATTATCATTATCATCATCATCATCATTATCATTATCATTATCATCATCATTATCATTATCATTACCAATAGGAATGTAATAATATCATTATCATTATCATCATCATCATCATCATCATCATTATCATTATCATTATCATTATCATTATCATCATCATCATCATTATCATTATCATTATCATTATCATTATCATTATCATTACCAATAGGAATGTAATAGGATAGATAGATAAAAGAAATGGAATGGAGCGGCTTTAGGCTCGAGTCTCGAGATATTTAGGCAATCTCAGACACACTCCCAGTCAGGCAGTATAATCAGGCGGAAAAAGGCAGAATGGGATCTAAGAATGGAAAGCCAGTCCTGACAGAGCAAACTGCCGATGATCTGTCCATGTATAGTGGATTGACTCCCATTCAGGTTTTTTTTTTAATGGACTGAGGACGTTTTTTCAATTGCAACCCGCCTTTTATAGAAGGTTTTACCAATTCACAGTGATACCTTGTACACCTGTATCTGAATCGGGCATGTCACTTAATAACTGTAAAGTCATCTCAAATTACACCTAAAGTCCCATCAATCTAAAGTGTGTTGTGTTAAAGTTGTTTTTAGCAAATTTAGTTTAAAATGCAATAGCTGGAAATTTATTAATCTGCCAGTAAACAGAGTCTATAAATTCAATGTTTAATAATAATAGTGTTTTAAAGTTTACTTTATGTAGACTAAATACTGTTAAAAGACTTAACAGACAGTTTATATATACCAGGATACTATTAAAAGACTAACAGGCAGTTTATATATACCAGGATACTATTAAAAGACTAACAGACAGTTTATATACCAGGATACTATTAAAAGACTAACAGACAGTTTATATATACCAGGATACTATTAAAAGACTAACAGACAGTTTATAGATACCAGGATACTATTAAAAGACGAACAGACAGTTTATATAGACCAAGATACTATTGAAAGACGAACAGACAGCTATATATATAGACTAGGATATTATTAAAAGACTAACAGACAGTTTATATAGAACAAGATACTATTAAAAGACGAACAGACAGTTCATATAGACCAAGATACTATTAAAAGACGAACAGACAGCTATATGTATAGACCAGGATACTATTAAAAGACTAACAGACAGTTTATATAGACCAAGATACTGTTAAAAGACGAACAGACAGCTATATATAATATATATACATCAGGATACTGTAAAAAGACTAACAGACAGTTTATATAGACCAAGATACTGTTAAAAGACTAAAATACAATTTTTATAGTTCAGAATACTGTTAAAAGACTAACAGCCAGTTTTTGTAGTCCAGAACACTGTTAAAAGACTAACAGACAGTTCATGTAAAGACCAGTAAACTGTTAAAAGACTACCGACAGTTTATAGAGCAGAAAACTGTTAAAAGACAAACAGACAGTTTATATAGACCTGGAAACTGTGACAAAACAAACAGACAGTTATGTAATTAAAGATACAATAGTAAAAAAAATACATAGACCAGCTAAAAAGTTTAGTTGACAGTGCGAAAAATGACTATTAAAGACATACTTGAAGTCCAAATCTCTGTGAAAGATTGGAAGCCGATGAATATAAGACTATTAGAGATGTTTAAACCTACACGTGGGGTTTCTAGTGTCTAGTTGTACTCAGTTATTTAAATGCAATGTGTGCAGAACTAAGCTGTGGCAAATTTACTCTAGCAATATTTTAGCAATCCTAACGATTTTACAGGGTTGACTTGGACTTGGATTTTACTTCATAGGCATTTTTACTTTTTTTGCAGTCCAATCGTATGACAAATGTTTTTTTCGTAGTATTTGGCAACATTTCCATAGACTTGGACGCGAGAACTTGCTACCTTTGAATCATTGTGCCCCCCTCCCTCATCCCCCCCCCTACTCTCTTCTTATCTTACTTTCTCCTTCTTTCTTTCCTTTTTTACTTTTACTGTTTTCACTTTCATACATTCCTTCCCCTCTCCATCTACTCATACTTTTTTCTCCTTCTTTTCCACTTTTTCCCACCCTTAGCGTCCCACCCATTTTTTCGTATTTTTGAGGTATTATCTAGCTTTCCAATTTCATAATTCACCCCCTTCTCTTCCTTTCCCTTCTCTTCCTTACCCTTCTCTTCTTTCCCCTTCTCTTTCTTACCCTTCTTTTCCTTCCCCTTCTCTTCCTTCCCCTTCTCTTCCTTACCCTTCTCTTCCTTACCCTTCTCTTCCTTACCCTTCTCTTCCTTCCCCTTTTCTTCCTTACCCTTCTCTTACTTCCCCTTCTCTTCCTTACCCTTCTCTTCCTTCTCCTTCTCTTTTTTACCCTTATCTTCCTTACTCTTCTCTTCCTTTCCCTTCTCTTCCTTACCCTTCTCTTCCTTCCCCTTCTCTTCCTTCCCCTTCTCTTCCTTACCCTTCTCTTCCTTCCCCTTCTCTTCCTTACCCTTCTCTTCCTTACCCTTCTCTTCCTTACCCTTCTCTTCCTTATCATTCTCTTCCTTACCCTTCTCTTCCTTATCCTTCTCTTCTTTCATCTTTTCTTCCTTCCCCTTCTCTTCCTTCCCCTTTCTCTTCTTTACCCTTCTCTTCCTTCCCCTTCTCTTCCTTACCCTTCTCTTCCTTACCCTTCTCTTCCTTACCCTTCTCTTCCTTCCCCTTCTCTTTCTTACCCTTCTCTTCCTTCCCCTTCTCTTCCTTCCCCTTCTCTACCTTACCCTTCTCTTCCTTATCCTTCTCTTCCTTCCCCTTCTCTTCCTTGCAGTAGTTCAAGTTCTCAGATGAATTAAATTTCGTGACTGTAATTTGCACCACATTTTTATGCTCATCTTTAGCAGAGCGTGTACAATTTTGCAAATTTTCATTATCCGAGTATTCGTTATTAAGGGTTTCACTGTAACATTTTATTATTGTGTAGATTCGTGAGCATTTTGATGCTTTTGTTGCTGAGCACCCAAGCGGAAAGATGAATAAGAAGGATTTCCGTGAAATGATGTCAAAGGGAACTTTTTAGAATAAATCTTAATTGAAAGATAAAATGTCCAATTATGTGTTTTGTTTACAACTTCTTTACAAACTAGTTCATAGAACTACAGAATATGAAATCAATAAAGAATTCCTTTTCTTTTTTTGTTAGTTCTAAAGATCTTGATTTTAAAACTATTTTTGTCAATTCAAAAGAGCTTGATTTTAAATTTAAAGTGTCTGTAGAGAGGGACCGTCCCTTTCCGCTTAAATTCTAAACGATAAATCGGCTTTTTCTTCGCCCACAGTTGTCTTTGAAAAGTAAAACTATTACCAATCAACAGCGAATAGGCTGTTATAGTTTATCCTGAAATTACGAACGGTCCCTTTAAAGAGCAAGTTAAGCGCATTTGATGTTGTTACAAAACAAATAGTTTTTTCCAGGAATTTATTTTCGTATTATTTTGCTCAAATTTAAGATAACCAAAAATGTGTGGTTTTGTTTTGTTTACATGGATAATTCAACTTTGTCAGATAAATATCTTAAATTTTCATATTTTTGCAACTACAAACTACAGAATGCTTTTTCTTATACATTGTTTTTTCATACTCAAATTTGTCAAAAACCGGAATTTTTTTGTAGATTTTGTTTTTAATAAAAAGTTGTGCATCAGGCCCTCCCTAAAAAAGATGCAAGCAAGATGGAGTCTCATTTATTCAGGTATCATGAAAGAAAAAATAATTTTCAATGAAAAGAAAATTTTTGGAAATTTTTCGTATTTTTAGGGTTTACGATACAAGCGAGGATGGTGTCATCGAATTTATCGAGTTCATGGTGAGTTTTGAAATTTATTTTCTATCTTTTCAAATATTTATTTTCTTTATCTTTTAGGTCGTCT